TAACCACCTAGGGAAACAGAATTTAAGTTACCCTGTTGTGCTTAAGCCAGTACTGCAAATTTGTTATTTTTTACTTAGCATCTGAACAGAGCCTGTAACTATGCCTCTGGGTGCAAGCCGCCCTGAGCTGGTTCGCTGGGAGGGCGGGGTATAAATACAAATAATAAATAAATAAATAAGTGTTCTCCACTTCAGCAACATCAAAACTGGTTAGGAAAATGAGCAGAATGTCTAACATAAACCAAATAAAACTTCTAATGTTCTTATTTTAAATAAGCCTTGTGCTTGGAGAGGCAAATTAAGGGGTGTCAAATCGCAGAATACACCTTTGAAAAAAATTATTGTGAAGGGAGGTGTATGCATAAGGACAACCTAATTAAATTTCCAAAGGTTATGTCAGGCACCCTTCAAAGCAGCTATATTGGAGCTGCTTCTCCATTGGTTCATCCCATTATACCGCTGTAATATTTAGATACACATCAGACTAACCTCATGAGTCCTTACCGATGTAATAATCACTGCCCAGCTAGGACTGCACAATGACTGAGTAGCAAGGATGCATACAGTTGGCCCTTTTAGGATTGTGGCAGGTCTATAAACATTATAGTCGTGTGGGGGCAAATCCATTGAAGAGGAGCTTCAACTAAATACAACCAGCGTCTTACAGAAATGACCAGATTGCAAAACTGCTATCTCTAGATTTCAAATAGTCTCCCAAACTGCCGTAAGCCATGTCAACACATAAAACCAGATTGGGTATTAACATTTCCTAACACCTAATTTTATTTTTAACTTGGAACTCTTCATTTTCTTACCTCACTCCCCTGCATAGTTTTTGCTGGATTTGCTGAAGGAATTGCTGCATTCAGTTCTTGCTCTGGCTTACATAACAGTGAAATTGTTTCTCGATGAGACTGGTAACGTTCTTTAACCTGTTTGTCAGCTTGCACAGCTTTATCCAAGATATTACGGTAATTGGCTCCCTCTAGAAGAATATAAAAGAGCTGTTATCCTCAAACATGTTAATGCAACAAACTGAGTGCTGTACTGTACTAGCGTTAGTGAAATGGAGATAACCTAGAATAACCTATTACTAAATTTCACTGATGGGGTTAGGATTTCATGTCGCTCATTCCTGCTCCAATATATATTTCCCATTACCAAAGTAACAAGGAATAAACTAATTAGCATCTCCAGAGTGGGTGGAGATGTGCTCACAAATCAGTTCTTCCCAATAACACAGCAGGCTAGATAAGTTAACATACACCTGTTGAAGGGAAGTCTGGGCACATTGTGTGACTGCACAGGTGACCACTTGGAGAATACCAATTAGAGTCTGAAAGCTAATTAACAGGCAGTTAATGATGGTATAGAACTCTAAAGGAAATTGGGAAAGCAAATAAAAACTACAAAGGAAAATGCTGGAAATGTCAAGATATAGATGGAACCTTCTTCCAGGTGTGGTGGACGTAAAAAAGCAAAAAGATACTGGAAGGAAATACATGGGAAAAGGCAGAATATATAAAAGTTCAAATTCCCAACAGAAGCCAAGAATATGCTACTAAGTATACCAAGTCTGTGCGCCTTGGTGTTTAGTCATGCCGGCCACATGACCACGGTAATGTCTTCCGACAGCGCTGGCTCTTCGGCTTTGAAACAGAGATGAGCACCGCAACCCTAGAGTCGGATTCGACTGGCTTTCGAGCAAGGGAACCTTTACTTATACTGGCCTAACAAATTACCAAAAAATTCTGGAAGAGATATTCAAATACATGGTGGCAGTGGCTAGAATGATCAAAACATCAAAATGGAAACTAGATGTCTGTTCAAACTTAGAAGAATGGGAAAGTAAACTTGCTGAATATGTACTAATGGCAAAAATAACAACCTGAGAAACAGATCAAACACAAAACCTGAGGAGAAATGGAGTGTGTATTATGCAAGCAGGAGATAAATTTAGAATGAGAAGCAGTTTAAAATATTGTAAATGAATGTACTGTAATGAAGAAGCAGAATGAGAATCAGTTTTAAATGTAACATCCTGAACATAAATGTGTGTAAGCAAGTGGACTTTGGGGAGAAACATCTATTTCCTTACTGCAAAATATATAATAGACTTTCCTTCTGTATTTTTGTTATATTACCTATTTCTTTAAAGTAATAGTAAGTGTGCAGAATAGGCAAAAACATGCAATATTGAGTATGTAACAATGATGAAACTAATACTGTACATGCAAAATAGATAAGTTATGAAATTTGAAATGTAAAATGTTGAAAATAAATTAATGTAACCAAGGGGATGTTGAGGAGAAATATTTTCTGTATCTTATACTTTGTTATATATAATTTATCGTTGACATATATAATTATATTATGTAACCTTCTTTTTCTTATCTATATTTCCCTTATATTGTTTCTCCATTTTTCCATATATATACATATATATATATTTACACACACACACATATACGAAGGCAGTTAACTAAGAACTGAGCATGCCTCCACCGACTCTGGGTATGCAGCAAGCAGCTGCTGTGGGTAAGGAAGATTGCACTCAAAATTGTACAGCTTTTACAGGTTCTGAGGTGGACTCTGCACAGAGGGTATCTGAGACAGCCACTAATGGTTTTTCCTGCTGGAAGTAGTCTGGAAAAAACTTTGCCTAAGCTTTGTGCAGGGTTTTAAGGCTTTTGGAGATGAGATAGTACTTTCTTTGACTTGTTAGGCCGCAGAGGAGCCCTCAAAGTAAAGGTAAAGGTTCCCTTGCTCGAAAGCCAGTCGAATCCGACTCTAAGGTTACGGTGCTCATCTCCGTTTCAAGGCCGAAGAGCCAGCACTGTCCGAAGACGTTTCCGTGGTCATGTGGCCGGCATGAGAGCCCTCAACATAGGGCTAATTAACTCTAACATCACTGTCCACATACATGCATCCGTTTGATATAGAGGGCTTGTGTTTCTGGATATATTTTCCTAGAAACAAATCAACTTCAGTTGGATTATGGTAGAAACGATTGGAAGTAAGAGCCTGATTACAGATCACTGATTATTTGCCAACAATATGGTTTGGTGTTCCTGCCATAAATCCTATCTTAGAACATGTCATTAACTAGAAATAGCTTTGTTCTCATTTCCAGGCAGGTTTTAACAAATTCAATTACTTCACAATTGTGCCCTTTTTAAATTAAACTACTGAAGTAGTACTACAAACTCTGAAGAAGTAAAAACCAAGATAGTTAAAAATGTGTTATGGCATCTCTCAATAGTTTGTCCACTTCTATCACTGCCACAGGTTAAGACTCATCTGTCATTCCCTCCCTAACTTTCGATAGTCCTCCTTCCTGTTTATCTGTTTGTGCCTATATGTTTACAATTTTAACTGTTTTAAGTGTTTTATACATATTTTTATTTTAAAGCTTGTTTTTATGTTGCGATTACTCACCACCTTGGGGACCCTTAAATCGGGTGGAAAAGCAGCATACAAATGTTTTAAATAAATAAAACCTGGAGTAAATACTACTCCTTGGCATTTCCAGATCCTGTTGCTCTTCAATAAGCATTACATATTCTAATCTGGATTGGAAATTGTTCCTGGAGGAACTACAGTAAGACTAGGAATGCATTCCTCAAGGACCTTTGAATTTTGAACATCCATCAACATTTGAGGGCAAAGAGCCCCAATCCTCCATTAACCAAATTAAGATCCACAAACTTGTCCTTCATTCACCATTATGAACACACTAGGAATAAGGCCCGTTGTGGAAATAAATACAACGAGATCTAGAAAGAGGCTCTGGGAGAGTGCTTTGGCTTTGGGCAAACAGTGTCAGTTTGCTGTGGTGACCTCAGCAGGGTATAATGACAGAGTCCACTGTTTTCTCCAGAGGAACTGATCTCTGCTACCTGAAGAGCAGTTCTAATTTTGAGTGACCTGGAGAGTGAGAAATGCCAGAGGCTCTGGGTGGGTGCCCCATCGTAAATGCACCAAACAATTCCTAAAGATTTTCCAAAACACTACTCTGTCGATACATTGCAACACTTTGAATTAGCACCAGAGCTTTAAGAGCTCTCCAGCTGTCACCTGGAGACTGGCATCAGCTTGTTTGGAGGGTGGGGAGTATGGCATTGTATCTGTCTGAGGTCCCCCTCTTCCTCCTCCCCCTCAGACCCCACCCTCAGCAGGCTTCATCCCTAAAATATCCTGGAAGTTTCCAACCTGGAGTTGCCAACCCTATGTCCTTTTCCAGGCAACCATCAGCCTACCGTTATCTGCCTGTCTGTCTTCAGGTTTGCATCCCCCCCCCCAGCCTCTGCCTAGGGAAAGGGCAGTCTTTCCCTGCAGTGGGAACCAAAGCAGCTGACATCATTCTCCTCTCCCCATATGATCCGCACAACTACCCTATGAGGTATGTTAAGGTTGAAAGTGTGTGAATGGTCCATAATCCCCCAGGCAGCTTTTAAAACATGAACCTGGGACCTGCACACCATCCTCTGAAGTGCTCTCTGTGGCAGTAATGGGGTGACTGCTGGCACCTTTTCCTATCATTTTTTGCCTTGTGGTATTCTGCTTGTGGTGTGATCTGTCTTCTTTGTGATGGGGCATGATTGTGTTATTGGGTTTGTTTCTTTTGAAGGGGAAGTGATGTGTTGTGAGTGAGGACATATTTTACCTCAGAATACAGTAGGTTCCATATGCAACTGAAAATTCCAACTGCCTTGCGGGGGGGGGGGAGTTTGAGGTGTGGAATGGAGTGAAGTCCAATCAGCTTCCATATGCAAAAGACCTTGAAACGCTGGGCGGGACTGCACAAAGCAGCCAGTCAACCCAGCCAGTGTCTTCTGACTGACAGTTCTTGCGGCCAAACACTAAAGGTGTGCATTTGGAACGTTGGAGCCCACTACGGCTTTATATATAAGGGAGAGATAATTATCAAACTAATAAATGGTCTTCCATCTCAATGCTGTGCCTGTCTGTGAAAGATAAGCAAGGCCTTTATCACACATTCAACAGCATTATTAAATTAAGATTTTTTACAAGATTTCATTAAAATCATGCTGTCTGCAGCCCCTTTGTCAGAAATGTCAGTAACTGGCTCAAGACAAATCCAGCAACATCACCTGTTGTTCAGAGTCCAGCTGCTGTTACACTGTTTTCTCTAGCTGGTTTTTCAGGAAGCCTTTCTTTAGAATTACTCCAAAACAGATCAGAATCAAATAAAGAATTTAGCTACATGCTAATTTATACATTTCAAGCAAGAAGATCAAGAAAATAACATAAATATTACCTGCCCTCAAAGGCTTGTAAAGATCATTTGATGGCGTTCTTTGCCAACGTTCCTTGAACTTGTTTTTCAGCTCATTGTCTGTTGTTTCTTCTTCATCTAATATCCTTAAAGACTTTAAGTGTGAAGACAAATTACTTAATTACAAAACTTCATGAAAACAATTTAAGCTCATGAACAGTAACTTGTTAACAAGGAAGGAACACTGGAATGACAACACCTATCAAATTGTAGGATCACGATCAACAGCCTCTTTCCTAGGATCACGATCAACAGCCGCTTTCCCTGCCTTCCCCCTGCCCTCACCCCGAAATCCCCAACAGAAGCCTCATAACAATCAAAAGCAATCCACTTCTATTGCTCCAGCAATCCAGTATCTTCCAAAATAGTAAAATTTAATTTTCTATTCCCTACACTCTTCAGACACAAAGCAGGTTACAAATTCTTTCTCCCCATCTTCATTTTACTCTCACAAAACACACCCTGTAAGGTGTGAGATGCTATCAACTCAGTTTGTTACACAACCAAGGCAAAGGGGAATTCAATCTACTAACACTTTTAACTACAAGTATTGTAACTTTACCTCATCCAGAATCTCTCTATTTCTCTGAAGCAGTTCAGGAAGATCTTTCATCAACTGATCAATTGTCTGGACACCTCCCTGCTCAATCACAGACTTTGACTTCTGCAGAATAGACTGAGGAACACTATCTCCAGATATATCCTCAATAGCAGCAGGGAGATTAAGGGATGCCAACACTCTAAAAAGAAAAATACTCTCATTTTAAATTTGTACCAAATAACTTGCAAAGTTATAAAATACTAACTGGATTAGTGAAACTGACATCCCAATTTTAAATTTTCTTATAAGTATCACTTTTTATAATTACGTTACTCACAACTTGGTACTAATTCTCTTCGGTATACTCTACCCCCCCCCCATGACAAGTATTTGGAGGTAAGGCTAAGTTACAGATATTGTTTCCTGCCCCATGCAAGATACCTAAATCTTAGATTAAGAGCTCCTTCAAAAGAACAAAGTGATTTAGGAAAGGCAGGCACTGGAATAATCTACTCACCCATTTGCCAGGTTGGTGGCCTCTCTCATTTGGGCAATGGATCTGTTCACCAAATCTGCCTTTCTTTGGTTGTAGAGGGTAAGAGCCTGCTGTACTGCCAAAGGAACCATCTTCTCAAACAAATCTGTAATTAAAATGCTATTGATGGATCTTGGTTCAGTTTTGGGAAATCTATAATAAATCTATAACCTACAATAAAGCTTCCAAAACTTATAAGTGTCTTTGAGACAGGTGGAGGTCACAGATGATAGATCACAGATGGCAAATCTGAGTTGCACAAAGGGGGAGAAAATATAATCAAAGCATATCTAATTGGAACTTTATGATTAAGTTAGTTCTTGTTTCAAGGTAAACTAATTTATCTATTAATGTGAGACCATTACTGTCATGCCTGAGCAAGTCATATATGTTAATGTTGTTCTGCCGATGAAAATACAAGATAAGAACACAGAAAAACAAGTTGTTCAAAACAGATTAAAACTTGCTGTCGTTTAAATATTAGCTGAATACATAAGTGATCTGTTTAATGTTTACTAAAGCTTCCTATGATAGAGTCTATTTTAGTCTGTTAAAAAGTATAAAACTTCTGTTACTTCTCTGCACAAAAACTGTAATATTTTTCTCTCCTCAAATGCATTAAAGCTTTGTGCTTTCCTTTCAAAATCGGTTTCCCTTGTGTGTATTATTGGCTTGTACATATAAAGGTCTCCCTATTGGGTTAACACTATCAACCAAGAAAAAAAAATCTCACTATCTTTATCCAATCTTTTCTTCTTCTGTATTCCTATTCCCATGCACCTTAAAATGTACTTTAAAGACAAAAACACTGCCATCTGCAACCCCTTCTCCTGGACCTGCCAAAAAACAATGACCTCCACAGCAGCACAGTAGCAACATTTTAAACTTACCTTTACCCATTTGTCTCTCATCCCAATTTAAGATTTACCAGAGACTGAGAAGGGCTTTCCTTAGGTTAGAGTCCCTACCTACACTGTAACTTGAAGTTCACCTTATCTTGTTTTGACCACTGAGATGAGAAGCAACTGTCTGGATGAAAGATGCGGAGCATAGTTTGGATTTCTTAAGTGTCACAATACTATTGTAACCCCTTTAGCCTCAAAAGGGCAAGGTTCGGATGCCCCCCTCAACTCTAAATACAAACTATTTGTTTTAACTAAAGGCAAATAAACAAGGGTAAAGAACTGGAAGTTTCAACAATATAGCTGAATAGTAAAATGAACAGTTCCCAGGTCAGGATGAGGTGAGAAATAAGTCCCTGGATCTGACTCACAAAGCCCACAAAAGGTCTGAATGTCTGGGAAGGTCTCCTCCTTTTGCTCAGACTGGAAAAACAGATTTTCTCCTCCTCAAGCCATATGAGCACAGTGAATCTGAGACCCAACCGAGACAATGGCCCTTCTCCTGTCACTACTGCCCCTCCCTTCCACAGACTGTCCTTCTCTGGAATGCCTCTTTCACAAAAATTCTCCACTCCCCCAGGGTAAAATGCCTCAGCTCCTTCTCTCCATTCCTCTTCACTTCCCCTCTTGTTGCCAGGCAACCACGCACCCAGTCTCTCTGTAGAGATCACCTCCCTCTAGACGGCAGTATTCCAGACCAAGACTCAATACAGAGGAGGTAACAGATTGCAAACGTTCTAATTTACATGTATTTTTAAAAGGCTACACGATCAACAGGCTTTGAGTGGGAAGGCCCCTACGGCATTCAAATAATGTGTGTCTGCAATCAGCCAGCTATCCCTAGTGAGGAGTGAGATCTGCGGCACCACCACATGTGCCAAAGCAAACAGGTGATACCTGCTACATGAGTAGTCTGGGGATTTAGACCTCCTATGTCAAGCACACACACAAAATTGTAGTCTACAAGATACAGCCATGCTTCGTCTACCAGAGTCTACATCTGCAGAGTTTTTGAGGCTTTCTAACAACAGGGCTAACAAAACCTCACTCAAGTCAGAATTCAGTACTCCCACTCCACCTAAAACAGAACTACCAAAAGTTTGCATTTAAACACATTACTTAAGGCTTGTACTGTTTGGAAGCTTCTTATAAAGGCATCAGAATAAACACACTGGAGGACAGACCTTCAAAGTAACAGATACAGCTCTGAAGTTGGACACTAAGTCAAATATGCCCCTTAGAAGCAGTTTCTCAAAGGCAAGATGCAGTCACCTCCCTTACAATGACATTGAAAGGATTAAAGAGAAATATAATTTACCTTGACTATTAGGGGGGAAAGGTCACAAGCCTAAATAAGTTAGCTCCAAAATTAGAATGGGATTACTGAAGTCATATGCTAAACTTTAGACTGCATACAGATATCGGATGCAAGGTGTGGCTTACCAATAAATTTCTGACTCAGAGGGACAACAACTGGAGTAGCTTTCACAAGGCTGGCTTTCCCAATAGGCTCTAGATCTTTAAGATCAGGAATCCTGTCATGGTAGATGAAGTCATTGTCCTTCTTTGCTGCAGTGAGTGCACGGCTGATCTTGTCAGACAAGTCTTTTACACTTATGTATTCATCATAGCGAGAGGCCACAGTTTTTACTAGATCAGCAGCATGCTAAATTCAAAATAAACAGAATATTTTTTAAAAAACTCTGCTGTAACTCTTGCCATAACACACACACAAAATCACTATACGTTTTATGCTTTTAATGTATTTGATTACATGTATTTTACCTATGTTGTAAGCTGCCTTGAACTCCATAAAGAAGAAAGGTGGCTAATAAGTGCAATAAATAAACAAAACAAATATGACACAGCTAAGTAAAATGCCCACTGGAGAAGTTTGGAAAGCATCAGCAAGAGGTTTCCCTGGAATATACAGAATAAACTGCAAGAGTAATAGATCATATAAAATTATTAGCATACAAAACTAGTTCCTGCTCCATGTAACTTCTAGCAAAAGGCAAGATTTTGGTTCTTTTAAATACTAGCATAGTTAAAATATCCAAAGCTGCCTGCCATGCAGATGCTTCCCAGCACAGACATTCCTCTTCGGAGCTAGGTTAGACTCCCTCACGGAAACATGCCATAACAAAATATTTTCTTCCTGGAACCTTTGAAGATGCACACTACCTCTAGAACTCATGATTCTCATTATGTTGAAGGGTCAGTTGTAATTTTAAAACAAAGTACTACTGCCGCTGCAGAATGCAGACAAACGCCACCTTTTTCTGGGAAGGAAAAAGGAACAAAGCATGAAACCAGACAGAGCCAGATATTTTATAGAATGACTCAGCACATAAGAAATTTTGTACATTATCTTTGCTATCATGTCAACACAGAAAGGCACCTTGAATTCATGAGCTTTTGAAAGGCCGCTGCCACCTTAAGGCAAGAGATTTCATCCTCAATATGCCATGCATAAAAGAAGTGCAGGCAGGCATGAAGACATTCCACTGCACTATGTCTTCCTAGTACCTGCTACATCATCCTCACAATGCCCGGATGCTACATTAAGACAGTTTTCTTGAAGTAAGACATAACTGGACCTGTCTGAGTGGAATCTGCTTAATTCATTTGTGTGCCTAAGAGTGTGCTCTCACACATCCAGCCCACATTTTGTGGATAGAAGTTCTGCATATACGGCTGTTTAGGGAGTGGGACAAATACTGGATGCAAGTTTCTGGAAACCCCAAGCTCTTGTCCCAGTGCTTTTTTAGATACTTTTACAATACTATGACAGATCAGTAAGTAGAATGAGGCACTTCTAAATGCCAAGGGAGGGTTTTAAGAAGGCCCAGGGTATGTAAGCGATGAGTGGTCTTACAGCAGACTGGATAGGTAACAGAGGCCTATGTTAGTCTTTGCCATGCACCATTCTCCTCCCAGCTCATGTGCCAGTAAATGGTTACCATATGTGGGCAATGCTATTGTGACAGACTGTGCTTTAAAACCTCATAAGTGCTGTATAAACATATAACGGACTGTGAAGAGTTAATGCCTCATAGAGCCAGAGCCTTTGAGTGACAGGCTGCTCAAATAGATTTCACTGGATAGCCTCAGCTGAGAAGAGTTGGGAACTGACTGCTGAAGAGAACTCAGTTTAACATTGACTAAGGACTGCCAAGGTGGCAAGGAGAAGTGGGAGGACTGCTGAAGACCCCCATTCGGGCCAGAGAAAAAGGGACAGAGCTTCTAGTTTAGAGAAGTAATCCCCTGCCCAGTTGAAAAGGGAGATAGCTCTAAAGAGTGGAGTGATCCCTGGTTTGTTTAGAGAAGGATTTGACGTACTTGGTACGGTATCCCTGCCTTTTGAAACCTGAAGAGTCAGTTAAATTCAAGAACGTACACTGAAGAGTTTAGTGGACACTGAAAATACAGCCTCTCATCTCAAAGATTCTAAGACTTTGTGAAAAGCTTGAAACTCTCACTTGCTGGAAACATATTATCTGAAGTTTGTGAAATTACCAAGTTACCTCAGAGTTATTATTGATTCACCACAGACATGTTTCCCCTGATTTCTCCTTACCTTCTCCCCTCTACGTTGAATAAAATATCTTGTTTATTTTTGAACTTTCAAAAGCATCTCATGTGCCATTTTCATAAGTATAAGTTAAGGAGATGATCTTGTCTCTTCACTCAAGTACTTGGGCTGAGTCAGCATCAAAATAGCATGCCCTGACCTGGATAGCCCAGGCAAGCTTGATCTTGTCAGATCTTGAACCGACCTGGGAAGTACTTGGAAAGGAGACCTCAAGGGAATACCAGGGCTTGGATGAAGAGGCAGGTAATATCAAGCCACCTCTGTGAAACATCCTAGCCCCACTAGGGGTTGCCAGAAGTCACCATGACTTCCAGGCTCACAAGCACATACACACACAAAATACCAAAAAAATTAATAAAATAACATGACAGGTATAAAATAACATGACATAAACCTTCAAATAAGTAGAAAATAGATCAAGGAAGCCAGAAAGGAAGAAAAAAGCCCGCTTGCGGGAAGGGCGAGGTATAAATGTAATGAAAATAAATAAATAAATAAATAAATAATAAAATCCTGCATGTGGGGGAGGGAAGAGGCCGAGATTGCCAAATTTGTTTGATTCAGTGTAACACATTCTCATGGCCCATCTTCATCTTGGTTTGGGGGCACAGCCTCGCAAGACAATGCCTTTACAAATAAGAGCTAAGTCCCACTGACTTACTACTAAGGGTGCTTTGATGACAGCACCTGAAACCAAATGATTAAGCTTAAGTCCAGAATTATCCAAAATATGTTCTCTCCAGCAAATTGGAGCTAACTGAAAAACATGGGGAGGAGGACTTACTATTACTTTGGTTATAACACAAGCTTAAAATAAAGCCAGGCAGTGGGGGAGAAGATAGGCGCTTGGAGGAATTTCAAGTGCAACAAGTCACTCAAATGCCAATACTCTACAGATTTTGCTAACTCACACATAGAATCATAGAATGTTAGAGTTGGACGGGATCTTGCAGGTTATCTAGTCCAACCCCCTGCACTCTGCAGGAGCATACATCACATATATCAGGTATATGAAGAAGTGAGCTGTAACTCACAAAAGCGCATACCCTGCCACAAATTTGGTTAGTCTTTAAGGTGCTACTGGACTCTTGCTCTTTTCTGCTCTCACACACGTTAGCGTTAGCCATAACTGGCCTGTCCGACTTCCATCATTAGTCTGAAACAAGCATTCATGCGAGTTGAATGTTCCAAAAAAAAAAAGGCCCCCAGAAAAGAAATATTTTTTACCTAAAGCATACATTTCCTGCCAGTACAATTATACTAAGCTCAGATTTTCATTATATTCCCCCATACCCCTATTTTTTAGAAAGTTAGGTTGCTAACTCACCTGCAGTCTTGCAATTTCTTCACCAAATTTCTTCTGCTGCTTTGCCAGTATAGATTGATGATACTCTGCATTGGCCTGCATTATGCAGTGTTTTGCAGCCAGAACAGGAAACACCTCCTGGAAATAAAAATACTGACCAGGGGAAAGTCCAACCACATAAACCATCACAGACAACATGGGATGCAGGAAGAAAGGAAGAAGAACAGGAAATTAGAGTCACCCAGTTAATGGTTAGGTAGGTTAAGACATGAGGTGCGGTGGACACCATGAGAGTTTGTATGGATTGTTTGGTGAAAGTATGAGTACTGCTCTATGTATTTCATCTAGGATATTACACATTGGCTTAAAGATTTCAATTAATAAGTCAATTCCTGATCTGTGACAGCTTACTTTACCAAGGGTTAAGAACTCAAATATGCACTAGAAAGCAGTGAAGATACCAACCATTATATTTGCACAAGCATTATACCAAACCAAACTCAAGTTTTGAAATGTCAGTCCTTGCCCCAGCCACCAGATGCATGTGCTCAGTTTTATTTTTCTCACCAAACATGGTGAGGCATATGCATCTGTATGGCCTTCCAGATCATATTACCCCTTGTCTTGATAATCTAAAATATGGAAATGGCTGTAAGTGATCATGTGGAATGGAAACTGTACGGCTAAACTGCCCCTTTAATTAAGCAACATGGGAGAGACCGCTCAAGGAGCTTCTGATAGACTGTTTTCTTATAAAAGTTCTCACTTGCAATAATGTCTCCAACTTTTTGTCACATTCAAAATGCTTATTTAGCAAGAACTGAAACTTTAAACACTAAAAGGTGCTCTTCCAAAACAAACCTTAGGTCTGATTTATACACGCTGCAGAACAAGGTGAGAATCAGGAGGTAGAATAGAACAGGTGGTAAATGGGAACTTACAAAATGGAACATTAAACAAGTTTGAGATCCTCTGCAAGCAGAAAACAGCAAAGAGTGAACCAGGCTAGAACCATTCCCCAAAAATCTTATTTTGGCCATTTTGTTTGTTATTTAAACATCGGGTAAGATTCAAAAATGCCAATCTCAGCAGTAAACTGAATAACACTGACTGCTATATCACCTTGCTCTGCCACAAATGTAGATTTGACATACGAAGACACATAAATGACTACATATGCTATCTTTACTGTTCTGTATTCTAAAGACCAAAAATGCTTGAAGCAACATGAAAACCTGGTTGCATAGAGCACCATCAAGAACCGTACACTGCAAACAGAAAAGTCTGTATAACCATAATTTCCCTGGGCCAAGGATCCTACAGGTGTGTCCAGACCATTTAAACAGGAATAGGTGTGGTTTTGATGCACATTTATCTTCTAAAGTCTACACTAGTCCTGCCTAACCTAATTCACTCAGTGGTTCTGCTGATCATGAAGCATGTTTAAGGAAACATCAAGTCTCTTACCCTTTGATTAAACCAGGCAACAAGTCAGTGCTTTACAAATGCAGCCGGCTACACAGAGGAAGGAACAACTGTTTAAACTTAAAGCAAACCTTATAAAGCAATACTAATAACTAAGCAAACCATATCCATTGAAGTATTGTGTAATATAACAAATTATAGTCCTAATCTTATGAAATCCAAAAACCTTTTACTAAAGTTGAATATTCCTAGTATCTAAAATGCACCCAACCTCAGTACAGTGATCCTCCACAACACAAAAGAGTTCACCAAGAGGGGAGACATTTTTAAACTCCGGATTTCATTGCCAATATTTTAGAAAGCCATGAGATTGAGCAGCGATGCCCTCATAACTGCCACCAAAGCTATCCCAAGACCAATTTCCGTGGCTGTGTGAGACGATGGCACAGTAATAAGAAACATGAACCCGATTAGGAAGAATGTTAGTTTGGAAACACTTTTAGTAAGGAAGTAAACAGACCACAGCCCTACAGAGACAGTCACAGACATTGCATTTTAAAGTTGAATGAAATCAGAAATCCCCTCTGAAAGAACATCTTCAATATTAAAGCAACAAACTTGGAACCAAATTCTATTCTTTCCTAATTTTATGGCAAGCTGCAAGTATTTACTAGATTCCTGTCTCATTAATGATTCCTCCACCCCCAACTCAGCAAGTATTAAAATTACAGAATACTGCTGACAACATCAAATACATAACCATGTCAAATCATAATACTTGTATATATTTTGCATTCTGTCTTTATAAAGTTACAAACCTTGGGTAAGGTATCCTTGTACTGACATTGTTTGAAAGCATCACCATAGTAGTCAGCAGATTGATTTGCAAGTTTAGCTATGATGGCATCTTTCATTTTATCTGAAAGGAAACATTACAATTGTAAACTTGGCTGGTAGCTGAAAGTCATTTCACATATGCAACACAATCAACAAGTTTAAACAGAGTCTCAAATACATTCTGAATATTTTCTGTAAGAGCTAGAGAAGTCCTACTATTTTTGAAAATTATGTGAAGACTATACTTTTGGAAAGCACATTTCAAAATCACAGAATACATGTTTTCTGGAAAGTGTCTTGAGCAAAATTCTTTCTGCAAATTCCTTCAAGTAAAAGATTTCCAAAGACAGTTTCAGAGTGTAGCCGAGTTGGTGTGCAGTAGAACAGCTAGATTCTAGTCCAGCAGCAACTTCAAAATATGAATGTCAGGTAGCACATGACATACCTCTTGTAGCTTTTAGAAAAAAGACTTCTTGAGCTTGAGCCAGCATGATAAGACTTAATGTGCCAACTGTATCTGGGGAGATGTCCACTGTAGGTTCTCGATTCAAAGAAGAGAGAACTGTATCTTTAATATGCTGGAAGGCACCACTAGCAAACTTCAGAAAAGAGAAAAAAAGGTACTAAATAAACACATCTGACACTATCATGCATTTAGACTGCATGTTTTACATTTAGTAGAACAGAAATTTGAGCAAGACTTGAATAAATGAAAGACCCTCTGAAGTCAAAGGCTACAATTCCTTATCAGAGTACTTTAAGCTGCATGTCTAAGGCACCAATCCTGCATACAAGTGTAATATTAATATGAAATAGTATTTTCAGACCAAAAGTTACCTAGCAGTTTATTGCAAGCCATTGGACATGTTTCATTTCTGGTGCAGATTACTATTAGACATTTTAAAATAGACTTCTTGGCCCTATAACACACAAAGTACTCAGTTTATCCCATTCTAACAGTACGTCAAGTTAAGCATACAGAAAATTATTCTGAACAGAGAAGAATTTGAAAAATCATTTTTTGTACAGATTTAAATTGCAATACATAGATAACTCAAACAGGAACTAAGAACTCTATGGAAGGGCAAGAATGAGCAAGATGAAACAGCAACGCTCACTCCACATTAGAAGCCACCAAAGTTCCTTTGGATTCTTAATGTGATGGAGAAACTGGCCTTGGATGCCTACCATTCGCACAAGAGAAAGAGACATGAAGGAAAACTATACTTATAGAGAAATTATGTATTTTTAAAAAATCAGCTCCCTTAGCAGTCCACAGATGACAAGGGTTTGGGCAGGCCAGGGTAGGATCTCTATTATCAGATCCTTTAGGCCAAGGGTGTCAAACATGCAGCCCGAGGGCCAGATCAGGCCCTCGGAGGGCTTCTATCAGGCCCGCAGTGGAACTGGCTGTCTTCTGCTTCTTCTTCCAGTTCTGCTGCTGCTGCGTCATCATAGGTTTGCAGCTTACAGATACATACCTGAACAGCATACTCAAGATTGCAACAGCACAGACATTTTGATGTAATAATTCAGAGCAAGAGGTGTCAGTTATCAGACACTGTTAAATAAACAAAATATTGCAAGACTGCTAATGTATTAAGCATGTTTTTATTTTAAGTTTTAAAATCCTTTGTATTTGTGTCCTTTATAAAGTTTATATCTCTGCTACCTGGCATTATATTTTATGACACCCATGGCCTGGCCCGACAAGGTCTCATTTATGTCAGATCATAACAAATGAGTTCGACAACCCTGTTTTAGGCCCTCTGAATAGTAATAAGGAAACCGACAGACCCCACTTCATTCTCCCAAAATAGAGTTCATGGGCACTAGCCTTAGATGCCAGGATCCTCTGAAAAGATGAGGACAGTGGTCATGATGTGATAAGCCCCTTTATATGTAACTGCATAAAAACTCCAGTCAGCTTTTAAAAACAGCATAGGGAAGAATGCAAAATCTCTGTTATGTAAGAGATCTCTCTTGTGCATCCTCAGAATAAGGCTGTGTGTGGTATCTTAATTATACTGACTTGGGTCACAACAAGTCCATTTTGCAAGTAGGATTTCAGGGTAAAAATGCTAAGGATCACACTGCTTAGTGCCCTACTTGAGTAGCAGATGGGAAGGCCATTCAATGAATTCAACTCAAATCTGGGGCTCACAGATTAAAAAACACTCTATCCACTGCAATAATTTTCCTAGGCTGATACTGATTATCCCAAAATATCTGCTGCACAGGATGAAGTTTGGGTCTGACAGCTTAAGACATAGATCTAATACTTCTGTTTCAAAAAATCTGACAGACACAAAGAGAAAAAGGTACCTGATAATGTTTAGCAGCAGCTTTCAATCCTTCATCACTGTCAAGATTTTGTTCTGATGCAATCTGGCTAGCTAAAGCTGCACAATTGAACAGCACACATGTCTTTTCATAGCCCAAACTTGCCAGAGCTGAAATACAGAATTAACACAAGAACAGGCACATGTACAAAATGAAAAATGAAATGAAGACTACAATCAACTAATGGATTCCAATGAGAGCATGTATTCGTATAACGTACATATATTTTTATGCAACATCTTCAGGAAACCTTGTCTAAATTGTGCTTTGAACATATTACGACCCATACTTTCTCATAAACATGAATATTGCCAAAGACATCAAGTTGGCCGCAACCAGGGCCAGGGCTTTTTCGGCAGCGGCTCCTGTCTGGTGGAACGAGCTCCCAGGGGAGATCCAGGCCCTGCAGGACCTTGCGCAGTTCTGCAGGGCTTTCAAGACGGAGCTCTTCCGCCAGGCTTTTGCGTAGGAGTCGCCACCACCACTGTACTACCACCGAGCTGCCATCTCTGATGGTGGCATCAATCTGGATGTGAGCTGGCCCTGGGAAGATGACCAGATGATCTGAAGAACTGGTCACGAAAGGACGACAGTAGTATTATCCGGAACGTATACTGACGGGTTAGGCTGGTCAACGGAACCCCATCTTGGACCGATAAGAACCAATATCAAGAGCATCGGCACTTTGTTGTGATGGATTATTTTGTTATGTTTTTAGCTGTTCAGTTCTGGCATGTGCCTCTTTTGTTAGCCGCCCTGAGCCCGCTTGGGGAGGGCGGGATATAAATTTAATAATAAATAAATAAAACATAACCGATCTACAGCAAAATAATTAGAAAATCAAGTCTTAAGTTTCTTATTTCTTGCAGAGATTAGAAGCAGTTACTAAAACTTGCACGTAAGCCCCATTAAACTCTGTGGAATGATTTCCAGGTAAACACACATAAAATCAGGCTGCTCATAATGGACCCTGATGCTGGGAAAGATTGAAGGTCAAAGAAGAAGGGGATGGCAAAGGATGAGCTGGTTAGACAGTGTTATCGATGCAACGAACATGAAATTAAGCAAACTTCGGAGCACAATGGAAGACAGGAGGGCCTGGCATGATGCGGTCCATGGGGTCAGGAAGAGTCGGATTCGACTGTACGACTGAACAAGAACTATAATAGGTTTGGATGCCTAGTTTGCATTTCACTTGACCTTTAAGATATTCAACACTATGAAGTAGACTCCTATTGTCAAAAAAGTTACTTACCAAGTTTAACTGATCCACCAAATAATGATCCTTTGTCAAAAGCATCTTTCCAGGTAAAGGTTACACATAGCTGAAAGTATGAGAACAGTAAAATTTCTAGTTTTGAAGACATCCAAATGCATCTTAAAAGGTCTTTTAAGATGAGTATTTCAAATAAAGACCAAAATTTACACCGTTAAGGCAATAAAAATTATATGTTACTAAAGACAGCTATGTTTCTCTTCGCAAAGTTTCTTCCAACAGCTTGATAAATCAGCGATATTATAAATATAATACACTATCAGCACAAGAGCATCAGGGTTCACAACTTTCTCTACAAATGAAGACCACACACAACCCAATGAAACACTCTTCCAAGGGCCCAAGCACATCTGCCTGCCGAGTATGATTTCCCCAACTACCCCTCCCCAAAGCAGCCCCAAATGCCCCATGAAATCCTGCTCCTGGGAGAGAGAATTTCCCAGGAACAAGATATCAAGCTGCCATGGGAGGGGAAGAAATTATGCTCCAGAGGTGGAAGGTCCATGGAAACATTAATCTAGATTGAAACAAAAGGTGAGTCCCACTGATTTAAGAACAAGCTTAACTCTGTTCATGAGACTCCAGTGTTTAACGGTGACTACACTGTGCCCAATTCAAGCCTGCATTTTAAACATCTATAAAATGATTGCTACAGTTCTTAGGTAAAGCTTCAACAAGTCTTATGGACTTCATATTCTCACACAAACACATGGGAATAGAAAAACATGGATTAGGCTGTTAAATTGACTCAAATGGCTTTAACCTCCAATTCATGGATTGTATACTCTGTGTATATATATTAAAAAGGCACTGTTTAAAAGATTTCATGCATTACCTGATTTTCAGAAAATGGAAATTTTGGCTCTATGGAACACAGCTGATCATAATATCTGAAATCAAGAAGCAAAAAAATAGGTTTAAGTATGTACAGGGCTAACAGTGGTAGCAGCCTTCATGGCTAACAAGTTAATGGTAATACAGCCTTTCCTGGTATTAGATACTGTCAAGCACTTTAGAATACAACTGAAAAAATAACACAGCTTTTACGGACTTGCCTATAGACAAAATAAAGATGACAGGCACTAACAATTCAGTGCAATCCAACTAGCTCTGAGAGAACTGCTTGTGAGAGAACAGCTCTGAAAGAACTTGTGACTAACCCAAAGTCACATCAGCAGCTGCATGTGGAGGAGTGGGGAATCAAACCCAGCTCTCTCACATCAGAGCCCGTGCTCCTAATCACTACACCAAACTGGCTCTCTTATTACCAGTTTCCAGAGCACTGGCTAACCTGCCACTGTCATTTCCACCTCCCATTGCTTCTTCCACTGGCCAGAAAGCAAAGGTGGATGGCAGGAATGGCAGCATGAGAATGCCTGTCTGAACTCAGCAAATGGCATCCCTAATCATGAAATAAGTAGGACAATTTCAGCCCTCATGTAAAATCACTGCACAGAAAAACTGGCTTGCCTACTTAGCAAAACAAATGACTATCTGGAAAGCTTTAGCGACTTCACATACGTTACCACTCAATTCAGAATTTTTAACTACTTAAGATATGCTGGGTTCCTCAGACCAACAGCAAAGAAATGTGAACATTATTACCAAAAATATGATGAAAGCAAGGGTGGTGTGGCGTTGGACTAGGATTGAGGAAAACTGGGTTTACATCTGAGTTCAAGTATGAAACCCACTGGCTTACTTGATGGTCTTTCAACCTAACCTGTCTCACGGAACAGTTAGGAGCATAATATCTACACCACCTCACACTCCTTGCAGGAAGAACAGGGAAAATTTACTAATGGACATACAGGCTTCGATACAATGTATCAGAGCCTAAAATAGGGCAGGCAGAGCCACTGTTGCAGAAATCTCTGCGCCCCGTGCGCTCCCAGAGCCAGGTAAGGAACACACAAGTCGGAGTCCAGTGAGTTGGATTTTAACTTTTTATTGCAATAACAGGAGATACAGGACTGGATACCTCAGCACCCAGTAACACCAATCTGTATTCTGCCCCAAACAGGAAGGGCAGTAGGTCTTATACCACAAATGACATCACAGTAGTTTACAACTCAGGAGGAACACAACTGGATTCAAACAGGTAGCAACACTTGAGCTGACATAATTCTATTGGTGTACCCCAAGACTGGCTAGAGTTACAAATATTTGCATTTGTTTATTTGACCCAAGAACATTGAGGTACATTGAGGTCTCCTGGCATTCTTCAAAGACCTTTTGCATCTGCATAGAATGGGGAGTACCCCTGATAAGGTGTGATATCTAACACAGTTTTTGGCTCTCAACAGACATCCTGGTGCCCGATGCCCGGCAATACAAAGGGAGATGCTGTTTAGGAACATCCAGGCCTCTTATGCATAGTAAAAGGTAAAGGTTCCCTTGCTCGAAAGCCAGTCGAATCCGACTCTAGGGTTGCGGTGCTCATCTCCGTTTCAAAGCCGAAGAGCCAGCGCTGTCCAAAGACGTTTCCGTGGTCATGTGGCCGGCATGACTAAACACCAAGGCACACGGAATGCTGTTACCTTCCCACTGAAGTGGTACCTATTTATCTACTTGCAATTTCTTGCTTTCGAACTGCTAGGTTGGCAGGAGCTGGAACTAGAGATGGGAGCTCACCCCGTCTTGTGGCACCCGGGTCTTGAACTGCTGAACTACTGACCTTCCACAGCCTGCAGTTCAGTGTCTTAACCACTTGAGCCACCGCAGCTCCCTTATGCATAGTATTGGGCCATAAATGTCCTTCAGAGCAGATGAACTACAAAGGCAGAAGCAACTAGCCAGAATAGTTCCACTCTCCTGCTTTCCTGAGCAAGCTTAAGGCTTTTTGGCACAGACAGTGTTGCTTTAAAGTGTTTTAAAGACTTCTTCCATTCCTCTACCAAACTAGGTTCGTTCATTACCGAATCAATATATGGCACTACATATATGTATACATATCAAACTCTAAAGCATAATGGCATAACAGATAATATGGGGAAAATCAGATGTGCTGTTTCCTTGTCCCACACCACTATAGCTCCAGGAAGTCCACACAGTAAAGGCACACCTACTAACCCTACACTCACTTTCTGGTGCACGACAATTTCCGGTCTGATTCCTCCTTTGTCCTGCCGTACAAACCTCCATCCAAATGTCAATACCTGGAGCCTCACTGATTGTCCTTACTTTCCAGCTCAAACTTTCCTGCATCCCGGCACCTGTTCAATGTGACCAGCCCACATTTTCACACCCCCAAATGACTGTCACCGGGAAGGGATCCAAGCTGGGCGTCGAACACGGTGCCATAGCCTCAACCCCTTTGCCTCCCACCAGCGGTCGCGTCACGTGCAAAAGCTCCCCTTTCTCACACACTTCCTGGACGCCCGCATCACACGGGCAGGGGGGAAATGACAGCCAGCGCTTTAGTCACTCTCGGTACACTCCCAAGGCAGAGCCTCAGGACGGTCATGCACCAACGGGTTTCCCCAAAACCTGCCCAGGGAAGGAGAAGGCACTACCCCGATTAGTGACCGCCTGCGCAACTCAGCAGCTACTGCGAATTAGTTCACTCCACAGGAGTTTACGTTCTTGTTCTGTTTTAAGCGTGAACGCGAAGGGAAAGTGAGGCGCGACAAGGGAAACCCATTCTGGTCTTCCCTAACACGCAGTGAGGGGAGGAGAGACCCTCAAAGCCCGCCAGCTCCGCTTCCCAACCACCCGCGAGCCCCCCTCCCCCGCCGCCTCCGCCCGGAACGCGGAGTTCTGTGGGCTCCTAGGGCGGCCAGGGGCGCGGCCAACGCGCAGCCTCACTCGCGACCTCTCTCTCCCCCCTCCCCCTCCCCCCACACACCTGCCGCTCAACCGTCGGCCGGGAGCGCGCGCGCGCGCACTGCCCCTCCCGCGCCCGACAACTCCTCACCTCAGGAGGGTCTCGAGCGAGCTCTCGTGCTTGTCCAGCGAGCGGCCGAGCGCGCTCTTGCGCAGCTTGTTGAGCTCCTCGGCGGCGCGGCAGTGCTCCGTCTGCGAGTCCCCGCCCGAGTAAGTCTGCTGGATGAACTTGCACAGAGGCTTGGCCAAGTCCACCTCCGAGGCCTTCTTCATCTGCACCGTGATGAACGACGCCATTTTTTCCCTTTTAGGGCCCCCCCCTCCTTTTTCCCGAAGGTGTCCTGTCCCTCCCCCTCCTCGCGAGTTACTTTTTCCCCCCCTTTCCCAGCGGACCCGGCCGCTTAATACAGCGCCAGTCGCAGCCCCAGCTCACTTCCGGGATCTCCGTTTAAAAAAACAACAAAACTGGTGCTTCCGGGCTCTATGATCTCCTCGCCTCGATAGCGTCATGGTCACGTGCCCGCTGATTTAGGCCTGCCCCTTCCCGATTTTGCCCCCTAGCTCCGCCCAATTGCTCTTAAGTTACTTTCTGGGCTCGTCTTGACTTTTGGTTTGCGCTGCTGATTCATTTCTGCCGCTTTCAAGGTCAGGTGACGCGGGTTCAAATCCACCTTCAGTGTCTCCTCTCGATATAGCCTCTCTCATTTTTCGAGTAAACGGACAAGATTTTATTCCAGCATGAATTTTCATGGATTAGAGGCGGGACTGAAAACTCGTTGGCTTTTAAGGGATAACTGCTTGGGTGCCATTATTTTTAAGAGCCGCGGGCTGAATCCTACCAATGTGGAGGTGATGCTGGCCGGTAAGCCTGAGATCTCGGAGGCTTTTCTGGTTCCCACGTTTGATGGAGTTCAGCTGACCGTTAAGAACATAAGAGATGCCAATGTTGGATCAGGCCAAAGGCCCATCCAGTCCAACACTCTGTGTCACACAGTAGCCAGAAATACCAGGTACATCAGGAGGTCCACCAGTCGGGCCAGGACATTAGAAGCCCTCCCACTGTTGACCCCCCCCCCCACCAAGAAACTTCCTGTGGCAGTGAATTCCATGTGTTAATCACTCTTTGGGTGAAGAAGTACTTCCTTTTATCCGTTCTAACCCGACCGCTCAGCAATTTCATGGAGTGCCCACGGGTTCTTGTATTGTGAGAAAGGGAGAAAAGTACCTCTTTCTTTACCTGCTCTTTCCCATGCATAATCTTATAAACCTCGATCATGTCACCCCTCAGTCGTCTTTTCTCCAAGCTAAAGAGCCCTAAGCGCTTTAACCTTTCCTCATAGGGAAAGTGTTCCAACCCTTTTATCATTCGAGTTGCCCTTTTCTGCACTTTTTCCAAAGCTATAATATCCTTTTTAAGGTGTGGTGAGTGACCAGAACTACACACAGTATTCCAAATGAGGTCACACCATTGATTTATATAGGGGTATTATGATATTGGCTGATCTGTTTTCAATACCCTTCCTAATAAGCCCCAGCATAGCATTGGCCTTTTAAAATTAATACTCTGGTTTCTTTTCAGATCGCATAAATCTTTCGCCTTTTACTAAAGAGTCACACATTGTCTCGACATTTTCAGTGAGTTATCTACTACAACTCCAAGATCTTTCTTATTCAGTCTCTGCCAGTTCAGACCCCATCAATGTGTATTTATATTTAGGATTTTTGGCTCCAATGTGCATTGCCTTGCACTTGGCCACATTGAACCCCATTTGCTGCCTTGACCATTGCTGCCTTGAGCCTAGTCTAAACGATTTATGTACTGCCTTCTTGGCTGATGACATGATGTCTGGCAAGAATACTTACTGTAAGTGCAAATGTTAATCTGCATTGTGAGGTATAAAGTATATTTTTTAAGTTCCCCAGAGCGCTGGAGGTTTCTTATTCCACAATAAACCAATGCAAGCTTCCTAAAGGAAGTTGTGGAAGTCAGTCATTTGAAAGAAGAATGTGGCCAGGCAATACTGCACACAGGCCCAAAAGATCATAGGAAACCATCACAGTTGTTGAGGTGGATTCCTGAGGTGATGTGGCAAGCTACTGACTCAACATGCCAAATGCGTGCAGCAAATCTTATATATGAATAAATATGTGACATGAAAACAGAAGTGCTCTTTAGATGCTCCCATCTAGATTAAGGCTCAGTTAGGCACATCCTGGAGGTCATACTTGATCCTGCATTACTGCTGGAGAAGCTTGTGAATTCAGCTGTGAAAAAACACATTCTTCATTTAGCATAGGCTCCCTACCTTTGCCCTGATCAGGATAGCTTAATATCATCAGATTTCGGAAGCTAAGCAGGGTTGGCCGTGGCTAGTATTTGGATGGGAGACCTCCAAGGAATACCAGGGTCTTGACGTGGGAGCAATGGCAAACCACCTCTGAACATCTCTTGCCCTGAAAAACCCACAGGGTTGCCATAAGTCAGGTGTGACTGACTAGCACTTTCCACAACCAACCAACCTACCTTTACCAAGCCAATGTGCTAGAGGAATCTCTTTTTTTGTCCCCCGAAGGGGATTTTTTTATTTGCATTTCTAAAATAACTACATAAGTATAATGAAAGAAAGGGAGGGGAAAGACTACAGACTAAGGGAGGCAGAGAAATAGGCACTAAAAGCCCAAGTGTAGAAGGTTACATATGCTTATAGATACAAAGTTGTAACTCTTATCAATTAACTTCTGACATGAGTTTCTAGATAGAGAATAGCTCCAAAGCTAATTAAGAAGTATAGAGACCTTAAAAGACATTGACATCTCCCATTGCGCTTTCCCTCCCTCCCCACAAACACGACGTTGTGGAGCCTAGATTTACTCAGTCCATACAGTCACCTCAATTTGTCCTCTTCCTTCTCTGTTGATTCTTCTTTCATAAACAGCTTTAATGAAACAGGCTTTGTCCAGTTAGTACCGCTTTCCTTTGCCAGGGCTTTCACTCGCTTGTTATGGTACAAGAGTCCAATCGCTTTTTAATCTGCTTGCCACCATCCAGTACAAGCTATACACAGTCTCAATTTCATCTATAAACCAAGATTTGCTGCTTCTTATTCTAAACACTGTCCCTTTAAAAGTCTCGCCACATTTAGAGCCGTTCCCGTTGAATATCCCACTTTAGCCAGCAGATGGCACCTGATTCAATGCTGTAGGAAGTCTATGGTTAGGTCACCTGACCTAACCCTCCATTTTTCTTCTTCCTGAGAGAAGCGTCCCACCTCCCTCACTGTCTCCGATCGCCATCTTGGAGGGTTGTTTACATTTACCGATTGAAGTTGCCAAAGTCTCAAAGGTCTGTAAATGCTTTTATTAGGAGATTTCTCTGATCTAGTCCTACTACTGTAATCCATTGCCACTGTTGGCTCAGTCCCCCACCGTCCCGCATCGTTCATTTGCTTGAGGGGGTAGGACGTCCCCTCCCTCTTCCCGCTTTAGTTTGTGGGGGCTTCGCAACAGGGCTCCGATGTCTCGCTTTAACTTAAACTCACTCATCCGTCTTCAAAAACGATCCAGCAGGTCTCCCTAGGATCTCGCTAGGCAGAGTAAAATCGCCAAACCTTCATACGCTTGTCCCGGTGGTCGCTTCGAGTCCGATACTGGGAATCAGGGCGGGACCTTCGGGGCAGAGAGCAGCCCCCCTGTGCCAGCTGTCAGCTGGAGGTAGGGCTCTCCAAAGCCCCCTGGCTAGGAGTCCATCACCTATGGACTCCATGGGGGAGTGCGCACAATCGCGCTCCCTCCTAATTCCCGATTCATGGCACATGTCTCTCGGAGGAACCGAGAGACGCGGCCATCGTTGAGGCGCCAAAAACCAGAAGTCTGCTAGAGGAATCTTGAGGCTATACTACTGAAACACATTCTATATGAGAGAGCTCTTGAAAATGACTCAGAAACTTTGGCTGATGCAAAACGTCACATCTCAATCACTGTCAAGAATGAGCATATTAAACTTGTTCTAAACTTTTTCGTTACTTGTTAATAGTTTCCAGGTTCCTGTTCTCTGTAAAGTCCTACATGGTCTTGGAGCCACATATCTGCAGGACTGCCTCTCCCAGCATGCTCTGCTCATTCAAGGAGGGCTTTTTGAAAGTACCATCCTGTGAGCCAGTAAAATTGCCAGTTGCCCCACAGCTTGACTGATGAGGCCCTGTTCAGTGTTCCCTCTAAGCTGAGTTAGTGTGAGCTAGCTCACAGTTTTTTAGCCTCCGGCTCACACACTTTTGCCTTAGCTCAGGAAGGAGGGCTCCAGAGCAAACGAATTTATGCAGCAGCCAAATCGCTCGCTCACAACTTTAATGCCAGTAGCTCACAAAGTACAATTTTTGCTCACAAAGGCTCCACAGCTTAGAGGGAACATTGGCCCTGTTAACTGTTCTTGTTACCCTTAGGAGTTGTGCCGTGTGAAGCCTAAACGATTTTGAGTGTTGTTATTTCACAGAATGTATAAAACTGAATTATTTAGGAGCACAATTTTGTGAAGAGGTAAGCAGTTGTGGTTAGTTGAAAGCTTATTAAAGGCTTTTATTTATTGTTGCATTTTAATTTTTGTAATCCACTTTGGGTCTTGATGAGAAAGATGGACTAGAAATACTGTAATAATACAGAAGATGCAGCCAGGCTCTTGTTTGTTGTTTACAGCAGGTCAATACAACTACCCCAGTGGCCACCCGACCTGCTTACTTCACAGGGTATTATGACAGCAAGACCAATAAATGTTGTAAGAAAGGCTTAAAAGACAGCTAGTGTAGTATACAGAAAGATTTGGCTTTAGGTGTAGTAAGGGACAGCTCTGATTCCAAATGAGACGTGAAACTCACAAAAGAACTGCAATCCAGTACGTGCTCGTTCAGGATTAAGTCTGAGTAGGATTTACTTTTGAGTACTTCTGCACAGGAGTAGACTGTAATGAGGCCTATTCAGAAGCCCTTCTGCACACAAGCTAAACTACTGTTATTATTTTACTTTTACTAACAATGAGCCTTGTATTTAGGGTTGCCGGCTCCAGGATGGGAAATTCTTCAAAGGTTTGAAGGTAGAACCAGGGAAAGGCAGGGTTTGGGGAGGGGAGGGACCTCGAGAGGTATAATGCCATACAGCCTACCTTCCAAAGCAGCCATTTCTTCAAGGATAAGTGTTCTCTGTCATCTGGGGATGAATTGTAATTCTGGGAGATCTCCAGGCCTCATGTGGAGGCCGGCAACCCTACTTGTATTACATATATTTTTGAAAGCTAACCCCGGCTGGGTTCTGCTCTTTTCGGACTTGGGCAAATCAAGGTGTGACGTTCTTCAGAACGCTGTTTTCAGATGTTGCTCTCAGACAGGGATGACCCCCGCAAAAAAAGATTTTTTATACTTTCCTGTAATATTTTTCCCCCATACTTTTTTTTCTACCAGCTTTCAGTCATC